AGCTTTTCACTGTAGTTTTTTTTTTTTTAGTTATTTATTCGACTATTACCGGCAGCCGTCAAAAATGGTTTGCCGATGACTAGCTACTATATTACATGTAGACCATTAGTAGCGGATGTTACCCAGAAAACATTGTTTTAGTGGATTTGCAGTGAACATATGTAGGCTTTTTTTTAGCGGTTCATTGAAGTTTTGCTCATTGGTGGTCTTAGTGAACTAATAGTGCAGCTACTATAAATGGCAAGTTGATAACTTTCAAGTATGTTAATAGTGGCTAGTCATTGGCCAGCCACTAATGGCGGCAGCCACTAATGCTCCACTAAGTAACCGATGAGCAAAACTCCAGTAAACCGCTCAAAATGCTTATATAGATGTAATATTAAATATGCCTATTATTAGTGGATCTTCTGTAGCATTACTGCAATTTAGGTGAAAGCGATACCAAATATTCAAATAAAACAACACTGAAATCCGTAGGGAAAAAAATTGTGACCAAGCTAAACTAAGTCTAGCCATCAACATCCATTCTGAAGAGGCTTTTTAAATGAGGGAGGGGGTGGGGGTGGAGTTAGAGATTTTAAGACCGGTTCATCCAAATTTTTAAAATATTTATAATATAAAAATATCTAAATGCAGTTTTGTAGAATTTAGCTAATAAAAGGTATTTTACAAAGTAATTTTTAGAATTACAATAATAAAAAATTGTTTCGACTCAACTTATAGAATTTCGAAAGTAAATAATCGTTTCAGTTCTATTTTAACAATTTCAATAATAAAAAAATATTTTGGTACAAACTATAAAATTTCGAAACTGAAATATTGTTTCTGTGCCATTTTTAGGACTTCGATGATTTAAATAGAGGAAAGTTGGTAGCCCCGGACGGCGGGTAACTCCGGACACGTAAAGTACAGTTTAAACTAAAGAAGCTATATGATTTTAAATGGTATAATCTAAAAACATTGGTTTAATCTAAAAACATTATTTGAATGAAAAAATGGCATATGCAAAATATCTATCATAATATGCCGTAGCGATTGGGTGGGAGTGCAAGATATTGTTTCCCACCACCATGTATCATCATATTTGATTCACATATTGATATATTTAATTTTTATGTAAACTAATAACTTTTTATTGATTAAAGATTTTTATTTACAATATTTATGTAAAAAAAAAATCGTTTAATACTTTAATTCACTGGTTTTAAAACTAGTGTTTGTGAATGGGGTATGATAAAGTGGTTTCGGGAAAAATCAAAACTACCATCAACCCACAACATTTTACTCTAATCTTGTTTTGGCCAATTGTTTAATCTAAATTATAAAAGAACGTATCTAAGTTTTTCATTTTTAAAGTGGTATCGTTTCTATGGTGGTTCCTGACAACTTTATTCATTTAAACATATAAAATGAGCAGTATTTTTATATAAATAATAATACATTTAATATAATACACAAACCTATAATAGTAACTCATTTAGTTCCAATAAAAAAATCAACAAAGTTGTTATTTTTTTTTATTAGTAAAAAGCTACTGTTTATATTTCTAAATTATCATAAATGGCGAATCTATATTTAAATGTTTTGAGAACATTCTAATCCTAACTAATTATATGGTACTAGGTAAAAAACTCTAACCACTTCCTTTTAAAGAAATTTGATTATATAAAAATTAGAGGTCACAAATATTCTGTAACTATTCGATTTGGGTACTTTTTTTACTATTCAGTATTTGCAGTGCCGGATCAAGGGGGACTAGGGGGACTGTAGCCACGGGCCCCACAAATTTAGGGACCCCAAAAATTTTAGAGGACCTTTTTTTAAAAGGCCTCCAAAACAAAAATAGCACCGGGCCCCAAGAAACTCTTAATCCGCCACTGAGTATTTGGCCAAATATTGCACACTATTTAATCATATACCAAATATCAGATCGTAACAAATAAACCGCATAAAAACGGACAACAAATTTTTTTAAACTTTTTTTATTCTAAAAAATAATATTTGATGCTTAAAATCTAAAGTTTTGATAAAAATATTTTCGTCGTTTGATGATAGCAAATGATTGCGAATTCCTCATAAATTAAACACACTTTCAATAATAGTCATTTACTACAGTCCGCGCCAAACAAATAGCACACACTATAAATATAATATATTTTATTCATTCTATATTGTTTTAAACATTAAAATATCTAAAAGTAGTCATAATCAGGTAGGTAATAAAAAACATATCGCTTTTGGCGCCAAATGTTTTTCCGCGTCAAAATATGGCAGATCATATGATATTTTCTGGTGACAAACAAAATAGAACACGCCAGTCATTTAACATTTGACTGCAACAGACGAATTGCTAACGCTAGGTAAGTGATACATATATTAGGGTTGACCATAGGGTCATCATATGTAAACTAATCATATGTGATACAGAAGAATACTATGGGACGCGGGACTGAGTTAAATGCTGAAGAAGTCGCTATGATCAAGGCATTCAAAGCTGCCAATGTATCAATGTCTGAGATATTGAGACATATACAGCGAAGTCGGAAGGTGATCAAAAAGATTTTGAAAGATCCTGATACATTTTTGAAAACAAAATCCAACCAAAATACTTCGAAAATAACCAAAAGTGACAAACGTCACATACAAAAAGTAGCTTCAAACACCGGCTGTAGTGCTCGATTGGCACACGTCCAGCTGAAAATTGATGTGTCGTTGCGTACAATACAAAGAACGTTACACGAAGCCAAACATCTGAGGTATGCGAAGCGTATCTTAATGCCGGCAATGAAGAAACATCACGTGGAGAAATGTATGACGTATGCAAACAAACATTTGTCTTGTCCACTTGATTGGGGCTTAATTATTTGGTCTGATGAGAAGAAATTTAATCTTGATGGTCCAGATAGATATTAATATTATTGGCATGTCTTACAAAAAAACCCGAGACTTTCTTGTCCAGACAAAATGGTGATTTGGGGTGCATTTTCCAAGGCTGAATCATCTGAACTGAAATTCATAGAAAAGAAACAAACAGCTAAAGATTATATTATTACACTCTCTGATTACTAAATGTCATATGGGCATACCAACTATAGACACGTTTGTTTTTATGCAAGATAACGCATCGATACATACGGCAAAGACCATGATGGAATTTGTAACGGATTATGGCATCCAGTGGGTTGATTATCCAGCGCTGTCACCCTACTTGAATCCAATTGAAAACATTGGGGTTTACGTCATGTGTATGTGATATATAAAACAATACAGTAACATCACGGAACTGAAAACTTCTATCAAGATAAAATAGAACAAAATCCCCCAATCTTTGCTTGAAACGCTCATTTCCTCGATGCCTAAACGTTGCATTCAGGTTATTATGAAGAATGGTAAGAAGATTGACTTTTAGGTTCGTTTCTACATCTTAGTAATCTTTAAAACCTGTTGAAATGGTGTGTGTGTGTTATTGGTTTGGCACATAATATATTTTTTGTTTTTTACATGTTTTAAACAAAAACAAAGACAATATTTTCTTTTTTTTGTATTTTATTTCTTGAGTTAACTTGCGTTAAATATGTATTAGTTATTGTGTCAAATTTAATACGTTCATGCACCTATTTTTATAACTAAATTATTGCATGTGCTATTCGTTTGGCGCGGACTGTATGTACACTGCCACCCGCAAATAATAAAATTTTTATGCAAGTTTTGTTAGGATAATCTTTTGAGCTTGCTGACCACAACTTGTAAGAATTTAAGCCAACAGTTTCATGTAAAAACTTTATTTGCAATCAATTTTTTTTTTCTTTCACATCTTCATGTATGTGCATTTTATTTGTAGCATTGGTTTGATCGTTTTCCTTTACATTACTTTTTCTTACGAGGTTGAAAGGAACCATCATCGGTGGTGCTTCATCGGTGTTAAGCAGCCTTTCACTGAGAAGAGTGAACCTTTCATTTGCTCAATTTTTCTCAAAGCTTTTAAATTTTGTTGTTGTTTAGCCTGTTATGTTTTAAATAAATCCTTAAAATTAGCTTTAAACGTGCATCAGTAAAAAAGGCTACCGTATAATTTAAAGTTAAACCATAAGTTAAACCCATTAAAGTTCAGGTTGTAGTGAAAATATCATTTTTAATAAGTTTAGAGTTTTTAGTGATATATCTATCAACAGCAACTTCTTAAACTACTTCAGGAGTGCAAGATATACCTGAGTTGGTAATTTTTGTGAAACCTCACCCACATCACAACACTACCATACTTGTGTTTTACAATATACCAGCTGTTTGTCTTTTTCGACGTCTAACATACATAATACAATCTGATAAAAGTGAAATGTATTCACTACCATTATTCTACAACATTTTACTCTAATCTTGATTTGGCCAGTTGTTTAATCAAAATTATAAAAGAACGTATCTAAGTTTTTCATTTTCAACTGAGTCATTTGAAACATCATTTAAAAGTTATTTGTTAAAGAGACATAAGGAAGATGAGTGTTTACAAATGTTTTTAAATAGCTGTTATAACAAGATGACAACATCAGTAAATTCATAGCCGGTTGTTTTGAGTTATGAAAATATTTATATAAGATAATGTTCACTGCTTCGGACATAACATTATTATTAGTCAACTTTGATTTTTGTTTATTGTAAATTAAGTGTTATTTATTTTAACCATTACGAAAAAGTTTATACTAAACATAAAAAAGATTTGAAAAAAGCAAATTTAATCCAAACTTTTTATTTTGGCTAAATTTGGTTCGTTTTTTTAAGAATTTCAATACAAATTTTAAACTTTAAATTAACGTAAGTGCGTTACAACCGCGTTGTTTTGTTGTGTTATTTCATATAAGTTTGACTTTTGGAAAAAATCAATTAGTTTATTACAGTTTTTTTTAGTTCTATTGTGTATGGTGACTGAAATAAACTTTTTGTTGTTTAATAAAAATTAAATTTTAATTTTTTGATTGAAAATTTTTGTGTTTGCTGTTTGTTCACGGTAAGGGATTTTCACGGTAAGGATTCAAACTGTCACGTGTTGTAATTTAATGCACAAAGCTTTTTCGTACGAAAAAAAAGTAGAAGATTTTTATTTTATTTTACCCAAACAGCTAATACTTTTTAGTCCTATTTAAGTGTAAAAATGACAAATTCTGATTCAGATGTTGATGTTTGTAGCCTTGATGACGACTCAGTACATAACCTACATACTGGTCTTACTGTTGTAGCTGCTGACACTTATGTTTGCACAGAGAATGAGGAAATGAAAATAGACGATGTTGTTCCATTGACTAAAGATGATCTTTTAGCTAATAAACAGAAGTCATTATTTAAAATGTCATCCTCTATTCTTACTGGTGTAAAGCACACCAACGAATGTGAAATAAACATTCAAAATGAAAATGCAAAACGTGGATTCTCAAAAGAAAATGAAAGTGATGTAATTAAAACAAAACAAAAGAGAATAAAGCGATGTGATGAAAAACTTGAAACTTTTACTAAATTAAAAGATTTTTCATTGTCAATAGAAAATACAGTAAAGAATAAAAAAGATTCAGATGAAGAATTATTTGACACAGGTGTCAATAATAAACTTAACCGGTTTTCATTTGAATCTGATCATTTAGTTTTAAAAAACAATACAGATTATCAGGCTCTTCTGAAATCTTTGGCTGTTCTAGAAGCACAAAGATCTCAAGCTATAAAAGATTTAGAAAAACTTCATCATATTAAAGAAGTTGCATTAGCTGATCCGTTGAAATTTGTACAGGACTTACAAAATGGCAACACTCCTAAATTCCCCCAAAGACAATTTGTAGCTAGTCTTCCTGATATTAACTGGATGCATTATCTTGCTGTTTATGCAGGTGGCAAATATGTACCCCAAATTGCTACTCGTAATATTGTAAAAAGCAATTTAGAAGGGAAAGACAATTTAGAAGAAGATTCTCCTGGAGAAATATCTGAAGATATAGAAAATGAAAAACAAACTGTTAGTGATGAAAAAAAACCTTTGTCTTTTAACAAAAAATGGACTCCAGAGGAACAAGAAAAGTTAGAAAAATTGCTAGTTTTATATCCTCCTGAAGATGTTGAGCAAAGACGATGGGAGAAGATCGCAAAAGCTCTTGGTAATCGAACCAGAGCACAAGTAACTAGTAGAATACAAAAATACTTTTTAAAACTTGCAAAAGCTAAACTACCAATTCCAGGTCGTCCTCCATCTTCTGTTTTAGTTCAACAATCACGAAAATCTAAAGTTAATCCAATAAGTTACAAAAATTCTTCATTTTTTCCATCATGGCAGCCTAAAGTTAAAATGGAAGATGAAGATAGTGACTCTGGTAAGGTATTTCCAAACTATAACTTAAGTGAAATACCTGTATCAGAAGATGAAGATGTACCTGACTCATTAAAAGATAGTGTTGAGTATACAGAGCTAATAGAACTAAAAAAAATAAAAACTATGCAGCTTTTTTCTAAAAATCAATCTAATGAAATTACACACCCAGGTTACATGTGTGATGGTTGTAAAATGGACCCTATTGTTGGTGTTCGATGGCACTGCAAAGATTGTCCATCTAATAACTCAGTTGACTTCTGTAATACTTGCTCTATGAACCCTGTTTATAATGAAGAACATACTAAAGAGCATGTACTGATACCATTAAAAGATTCAAACAATACACATCTGAATGATGGTAATTATGTTGCATTTGAACAATGCAATAAATTTAAATACAATTATTTAGATCCCAACTTTGTGCCAAGTTAATAAGTAAAAAAAAAAAAATATGTATGTGTGTGTGTAAATATATATATATATATATATATATATATATATATATATATATATATATATATATATATATATATATATATATATATATATATATATATATATATATATATATATATATATATAATATATATATATATATATATATATATATATATATATATATATATATATATATATATATATATATATATATATATATATATATATATATATATATAACAACTAATAATAGTTATTTTATTTTTATATTTAACTATAACATATTTATTTGAACTGTTTTTTTTTTTTACTGATTTTTATGAACACATAGACTATATAAATACTGCTATTTTTTTTTTCTATTTTTCTTTCTATGAACTTTCTGTATATTTTATAATATTTTTATGAAAGTTTTAAAATGTTTAGTTAATGGTTTTAAGTAAATGTTTGAACCATCATTAGTACCATTGACATAATGGCAGAAATATTTTTATTTCTTTTTTTTATAATTTAATATATACTATGATATGTTATGCTTTTATATTTTATAATATGTTGTAATAAACAGTAATATATATATATATATATATATATATATATATATATATATATATATATATATATATATATATATATATATATATATATTATATATATATATATATATGCTGATATAAAAGCTATGCTAGTATCTTAATTTATTTTACAACTTTATATTTTGAAATAAAATATGATATTTTAAAAATATTTTGTTGATATTATTCAAGCTTTTGCTTATATTATTTATTCAGTGCTCTGTAATGTGGCCGTAAGGTCTTCTTGAAGCCCTTCAACAAGTAAAATAAAAAAAGCATCTTACTCTGCGCTTCTATATTAATCCAATGTTGAAGGTTTTTAAATTGTATGTGTATATTAGGGTGTATCAAATGCCCCCTATTTTAAAAAAAATGTGTCCTTATTCTAAAAAAATTTTATTGGTTCTTGCAAGCAACTCAGTTAAATTTTTCAAAAATGTAATTGAGTGTAGGGGGAGCAACGCAATTCTAAACTTTGCGATCTGACCCTAAACATGGAAAAATAATAATTATCATCTTATTAAAAAAATAATTGTTTTGCAATTTACTGTGTAGAAAATTTCATTTTTAGCTAAAGAGCATTTTTGCAAGATTTTTTTAATTATTTTTTTCTAATGATTTTTATAAAATGATCTTCTACCCAACAATAGTAAAAATCTCTTTTAGCCAACAAAAGAATAAACAATGCTTACAATACATTTTTGTCTCTTTATCATAAAGTGACTGTTGAGTTAATCTAAAAGAATATATATATATATATATATATATATATATATATATATATATATATATATATATATATATATACATACATATATATATTCTTATAGCTTATCATTATAATCTTAATGCAAATTACATGAATAAGGAAAGCAAGATGAAGGGAGCGAATAACAAAGAATTGATGTTCAAGAAAAAAACTAGATAAATAAGATTTTTTGGAGCACTTAGGAACAGTTGCAGTAAAAGGATGAAACTTAATTGAAAGACAAATAACACAAGAATGAATTTTAGTATATGGAACAAATGATGCTAGCTCTTAAGAGCAGTGCCCATTATAGTATTTATTGAAAATATAAAGAGAAGCAACATTACAATGGTATGACAATGATTGCAACATTACGATGGTATGACAATTGTTAAACAATGTTTACAATGCATTTTTGCACCTTGTCTAAAAGAGAAAAGGCATCATTTGAAGATATGGTACCAAAATTTCATAAAAGGATGGGTTTGAGATTTATAGAAATAAAGAGTAGAATCCGGATTAAAAAAAGTGGCAAGCACAATAAAGAAATGCAATGTTAACAGGTGATAATTTTGTTATTGATTTGATATATGTTTTCCAAGAAAAATCAGAAGAGTTAATCCTAGAAGACGAAGGATGAGTACATTACTGTTCATAAATGTAGAAAGATCTAGATTATTTTTATAAGGGTTAGCTGAAAAAAAGTTAATTTTATCAGAGTTGAAGTTCACAAGCCACTGAGAGCCCCATGCTGTTGCAGAAGTGAGATTCTTTTTTTTACCCCCTCCAAGCGATCAGAGAGGGTTAGCTTTTTATCAAGACAAGAATAAATGGTAGTATCATCAGCAAACAATGCCACCTTAGATGTGAGAATTTCTGGGAGATCATATATATATATATATATATATATACAAGAGAGGAATGCTGCTATATTGACAGATAAATAGGAAAAACATGCAAGGAGTGTTGCTTCATTGACTGAAATATTAGTAGAACATGCAAAGAGTTCTGCTACATCAACTGACAAATAGGTTGAACATGTGATTAGTGCAGCCTCATTGACTAAGGGTTTTTGTTTGGGCCTGCATTCTATCAATTAAAAAAAAACTTTTTAAAAGTTTTAAGTTTTTTGCGGTGGTGAATAAGAATGTAATAAATATTTATTTTCATAATTATAGTTTTAAAAATTCATTAAATTTTTTTGGTTTTCCGCATCATTTAAGATTTTTCAAATGAATCTTAGTATTGTATCATTCATTTAGATTTTCTAATGTATATATATATATATATATATATATATATATATATATATATATATATATATATATATATATATATATATATATATATGCTGTATTTTATTGTCGTTGAAATGTCAAAGCAATTGAATTAATGCGGAAGTACATTAAATTTTATTGTTTTTTGAATAAACTGCCAATGACTAAAAATTTTTTTTTTAATGAATGGTGTTTTTGTTGTTGTTTTGTTAAAATATATTTTAAAAACATGCGCGGAGTGTTGCTACATCGACTATCTTATAGAGTGCTGCTATAAGGGAGTGTTGCTACATCGACTACAATATAGCCTGACTCGCAATGGAGTGTTGCTACATCGACTATCTTATAGCCTGACTTGCAAAGGAGTGTTGCTACATCGACTATCTTGAAGCCTGACTCACAATAGAGTGCTGCTACATCGACTGACAAATAGCCTGACTCACAAGGGAGTGTTGCTACATCGACTGACAAATAGCCTGATTTGCAAGGGAGTGCTGCTACATTGACTGAGGGTTTGGTTTGGGCAGGCATTCTATCATTTAAGAAAAGAAAAAAATTATTTAATTTTTTTCAACTTTTTCTGGTCTGGTTTATTAACTTGCTCTTTAAAACTATAGTTTATGGACACAATTTTCTGACTAGCATGCAAGAGTTTATATATATATACATATATATATATATATATATATATATATATATATATATATATATATATATATATATATATATATATATATATATATATATATATATATATATATATATATATATATAGGTTTGTATATATTATTCTTATAGCACTGTTACTTTTATAACTGTTGTTTGTTTATTAAAATGTTTTATTAAAAGTTATAGTGATAAACGATTTTCTTTTGCGTTCCCTGCTTGTAGTTGTTTATTAGTTTTTGTTTTTTTTTGTTTTTTTTATTTATAAGCTTCTAAAAAAATTTTTGTTTATTACTGTTAATTTTTTGAAAAAGGTAGATGGATAAAAGAGTTTTTTTGAGTACGTTGGTATTATTCTGTTCCATTGTTTTATTAACTCTCCCAACGCCAGCTGTTGAAAGTTTAATTAAAAACTATTTACAAAAAAAGCTATACAAAGCATTACTTACAAATAATTGGCCAAAGATATATGGGAGATGCTCAAAAATACCAGTTTGGAACTGGAATAATACATATCAGCCTGTTTTAGATGCTGCAGCAAAAGGTCATGTTAGTGTATTGTTTTTAACAAAAGGTTCAAGTAAATATTGTACAGAGCTGTTACCGCCACTTCATCAGTTAGCAGAATATTACAGGTTTTCCTTAATTTTTTTTTTTAAGTGTAATTATCTTAATTTTCTGACAACATGCAAATGACAATACGACGAAGATATTATAGTGATATCCATATGTATAGATAATATTATAGTGATATCCATATGTATAGATAATGTTATAGTGATATCCATATGTATAGATAATGTTATAGTGATATCCATATGTATAGATAATGTTATAGTGATATCCATATGTATAGATATTGCTACTATTTTGATTCTTTAATATCTCAGTTAAACAAGGATAACATCTTTTTGGTGTTTAAAACTATTTCAATGAAGATAATTTCTAAATATAGACTAAAATAATTTTAAAATAATTTTACGGAAAAAACAATATTTATATTCCTTACACAAATAATGCAAATATAATTTTTTTAACTTTTTTTTTTAAACAACTGCATTAATAAAGCATAATTAAAAGAATTCATAATATTAATCAACAAAAATAGATAATTACCTAAATACATTAAACCTAATGATTTGCTTCCTACTTTTTTTAGTTATTTATTCTATAAAGTCTCTTTTCTGTTTTAATATGTTTTTAAATGTCTGATGCATAAAATGTCTATATATACAAACAAAGAATTCAACATACACATTTAAAAGCTGTGACAAAAAACAAACAAAATATTGAGAGTTCTTTTTGTATCTTTATTTTATTTACAAATATAATCATTTCCTATTTATTTGTTGTGTCAAAATTTATGGAAACTTTAGTTTCAAAACTTGTTTTTAAATAAATCTTTTTAGATAGTAATGGCAAGTGCATTGCTAGATTTAACTCAATATTGCATTGGAAAACCATTAAATCAAGATTGTCATAAAGTAAAATTTACCAAAGTCCAAAAAATTAAATGTTTTGAAGAATTAACAGAAAAAGATCAAGAACTTGTACACTTGTGATGTAAGGTAAATCATATTCAAACTTTGATTCAAAATTTGAATATGATTTACTTTTCTTTCATTTCAAAATTTGATTTATTTGTTTTAAACACATAAATTCAAATAAATTTTTTAGCAAAAATTTATTTGAAAGATTCAATGTTCATATTGATTGTTTATTACATAATAGAATTCTTTATTACATAATTAACTTGTGCATAGTGTTGACAAGTCAACTCTTATAACTTGGTGTAAGTTGTAATCTAAATTTAAACATGATAATCAAATAAATCAAATTAATGGAGAGGGGTGAAATGATGAATGTATTGGAAAAGTATTTATAGTCATAGTATTAAATATTAGGTAAATTAGACTAAAAAGTCTTTTTTTTCATTTTAACCTAATTGGCTACTTATAAGAATTATATGCAGTCTTTTTACTGTCTAACATTAAAAACTAAATTTCACAGTTTTTATATGTGTATGTTTAGTGGTATGTTTGAGCATAAAGACACTTCATCAGACATAAAATCAGACACACTGTGTAAAGGGAAGTGTTCAATTACAATTTTTTTCTAAGTTCTGGGCAAAAATGTGCATGATAAAAAGTAAATGAATGGGTTGAGGGGGTAAAGGGGGAAGGTAAGAGCTAAAACTATTTGAAAACTAAGTTTTATTCAAGCCTAATTAAAGACTTTTTTCTAGTAATGATTATGAAATACTTTTAAATTTATACATACTTTGTATTAAATAACTAAAAAAACTAAACAATAAAAACTAAAGTATAACAATAACTTTATTTTTATTGTTTTTAATGCATTTTAGGCAATTTTCATTGTTCTGATTTTGTAACTTCCCCATGAGTACCCATGCTGCAGCTATTTTTAGAAGTCTATAATTTTTTACTGAATTGTATCTTATCAGTAAATTTCTAAAAATTTGGAAGCCAATATATAGAATATATAGAAACTAAAAAAATATATAGAAAAAATTAGTCTTTTCACTTCTTAAATTTCCTGTTTTTGTATATTGACTATTGATAAAAAAATCAGCTTTTTATATTCACAAACAAATTTTTAGGTTTTTTAAGTAGACAGATGGAAAAAATGTGACATTCGAGAATTGTCAAAGTTTTATTAAAGTAAATCTCGAGTTGTATACAATAAAAAAAAGCTAGAAGGTTTTCTGAAACTTTAAAATATAGAGCTTCAAAGTATAAACAAACCATGTTTTTGCTACTGAAGTTTTTATTTTTTGAAAAATCCGAAATTTCAACTGACCATACCTTATGAACCACAAAAAATTTTATGCTGAAATTTTCAGTAATTGCTTTTCTCATTGATATTAACAAACCCACTAAGTTTCATCAAAATCTGAGGTGGTCCATATTGGCATGGAATGACTCTAATGATTTCAGGTTCATTATAAATTCTGATGATGAATCTATTGAATCTCCATGATGAATCTATTTTTTTAGATTTTGAAACTTTGAAATCTTGATTGAAAATATTCCGATGCATGTGGTTTTTCATGATATTTTAAAGCATTTTGTTTTGTACTCTTCAAACCTTTTTTATTTGTTTCCTGTTGACTATAGTGGAATTGATGTGTTAATATGGATTCTTTGGCATTGTTCATCAAAATTTTTTATTGTTCGTGTGTATATATATATATATATATATATATATATATATATATATATATATATATATATATATATATATATATATTATATATATATTAGGGGTGTACCGAAGCTTCGGCTTCTGCCAAAGCCAGGGTCAGTTTTTGCCGAAGCATGGGCTTCTGCAAGTTTTTTAAGGTAATTAAAGGTAATAAGCTACTGTTATATTAAACATAAAATAATTTTATTGCTTACAATATGGTTACTATAATTCTACTTCTTATAATTTGCTCCTTTACTTTGATTTCTTGACGTATGCTGCAACATATATAGTATACATTGCGACGTGCCGCAAACTATATTAGTATTTTTTGTTTTGTTTGCCTGCTTATCAAAATTAATGGGTGCTTTTTTATATTTTATTTAAGTTTTGTTTAATTTTATTCCGTTGTTATATTTACTAAAACCTATTTTCATTGTGACGCTAGAAAAATTATTTCTAATCACAACTCAAAAACATGAATAATTTATGATTTTATAATTACAGAAGCAGATAACCTGCAGAAAATCAATGGCATTATGCTGCAATAATTGTATGCATACTAAAACACTTTGAAAGCGCTACAAAAAGTAAGAGCAGAAAAATCATACCATTTCTTGACTATGCTAGGGACAAATCAACAGAAATCAAAACTGTTGTTGATTTTAAAAGTCATTTTCATTAATACAAAGATAATGTTCGTCTAAAAGTTGCAATGATTCACAAACCCCGTTTCGAATAAAAAATTTTAAAGAAACAGATCATAGTAAGTTTAGGAAAATTTTATATAGATAGTACTACCGCTTTCATTTGGAGTATCTATACCCTAAATGAAAGCAGTAGTATCCTTAATATAATTTGCTTGCTTGTTGTAAATGATCATTTACAACAAGCAACAAGTTAATTTCGTTAAAGACTCCAATTGTAATGGTTCAATCAAAAAAGAAAGCATTGGCATGTACAGCTTCTTAGACTAAATGGGTATAAATGAAAATGCTTCACAGAAATGTGAAAGCACTGATGGAGGGGGAAAAAAGTATAATAGTAAAAATCCTAGAGGAAAAACTCAAAATTTAAAAGGAAAATCATATGAATAAAAAATATCAAAATAAAATTGTATTTTTTTTTTATTTAATTAAAAATTGATGTTGCATTCAGCCCTGTTAATAGAAATTTATCTACAGGTTTTTTTTGTACACCAGAATTGCTGTAGACAAAATTATATTATATTTATATAATGGAAAGATTGCTGCTTGCAGGCACAAACTATATACAAGCAGGCCGTGTCTTCCTGTAGTTACGGGGCTGTTTGCATTTAATATTTTTAGTTTTCCATTCAAAACATAACTATTTATCAACTATAAATGTTTATTTATAAGTTGAATAGTAGTATTCTTTTTTCCTTACATGATTAAAGATTTAAAATATTAGTTTAAACTTTAAATTGATTCATAGTTTTGATTCAACATGGACCAAAAAATGAATACCCTTATAAGTGGTGGGGTGTTTACAATTACACCTGCTCTGATAAAGACACTAAAAAGTTGGATTTGGTTCTCAATGAAAATTTTGTGCACACCTTCTTCATCCGTTAAGAGTGAACCTCTGTTCAGCACAACAAGAAACATATTTTAAGCCAAACAGACTGTTGCCTGAGTATGGAGAACAGAATACGTTTTTAAACTATAGTTTGCCTGATTTCTAATGGGTAATTAGTTTAAATGTAATAAAGTAATAAGTATAATAAAAACAACTTACCTCGTTTATTATTAGTAATTACTAAATGGTAAATAATATTATAATCCAATGTACAAACTAATGTAAACTAAACATTGTTTATAATATAATTTTAAAGTTTAGACTTGATTAAGTTGATGAGAAGCCAAATTAGTTTTATAATTCACACCCTAATTCAACTACCAATTTGTAATTAGTAATAACTAGTTAGCTAGTCATCTTTTTTTCAAGTAAAATTAAATTTGTCCAAGCTAGGCATTGCTACATCCTAAAATCCTATGACATTGCATAATTAAAAAAAAAACCTTGATGATTTGTTATAGTAAAAAACCTTGTGCGCTAAAATACTTTTAATTGCAGTACATATATTTTACAATATGCTGTACATATAATAGTTGTAGTAAAATGTTAAAAAATGTTTTTCAGCGATTAATATTATCACTAGATAGCTAGATCTGCAAGATAGCAAATTTATCTAGGTAAGTGCAAAAGCTTCGACAGTGTGACTTTGGCCGAAGCTTGGGCTTCGGCAAAATCTTAGCTTTGGTACATCTCTAATATATATATATAAATATATATATATATATATATATATATATATATATATATATATATATATATATATATATATATATATATATATATATATATATATATATATATATATATATATATATATATATATATATATGTATATATATATACATATATATATACATATATATATACATATATATATATACATATATATAAATATATATATATATACATATATATATATACATATATATATACATATATATATATACATATATATATATATACATATATATATACATATATATATTTATATATATATATATATATATATATATATATATATATATATATATATATATATATATATATATATATATATATATATATATATATATATATTATGCAAAACTAAAAAAAAACAGCACTGTCAAAAAATTATCACTGCCTGTAGGTATTGAACTGCAGTGCATTTAATTTTTCAAAATTTTTTCTTAATTTAAAGTACTCAAAAATTGTTTAAAATCACTCAAAAACCCCTGCAAAATGAATTATTTATGTGAAAAATTATTATTATGCATATTCAGGTGATCACCATTTTTATTTACACAGATGTGATCTGTCAACAATCAAAAATTCTACTGTAAGCTAGATTTTTTGATTAAAGTTTTTATGATTTTGGTCAATATTGGTTCAATCTAAACTTTTTAAAAGTTTGGTAAATCAAGCTGAAATTTCTAGGACTGTGTTTTTTAGATAAAATCTGTGCTTAATCAAAGTTTAAAGCAAATCTTGAAAGTACCCTGTTACCCTGGAAGCCATTAAGTCAATGATTAGAAACTGTACATTAATAAATGAATAAAAATTATTGAAAGTAATAAAGAATAACACCATAGTGAAATCAACTCAATGTCTTTAATTCAGTTTAATATAAAAACAAACTTTCATTTTTAAAATGTACAATTTTTATTTTTAATAAAGGAATGGAATAGGAAATGTCACATTTATTGCTCTCAGCTATCGTCTAAAGAAAGTTCCAGATAAAATCAAATCATTATATCCTCTTATCAATTTTTATGAAGAACCTGTTCAATCAAGGATATTTTCTCAGCTTAAAGCAAACACTGGACATTTTTTGGTATATGACAAATGTGGGCGTCAGCAATACCATATTGGATATCCATTTGGTTCATTTTATTACAATTTGTTACCGTAAGTTTGATATTTTATTTTTATTTAACTTTATTGTAAATTACTTTATTTAAAAAGGGTTTCACATAACATAACACCCTATAAATAAAATTTCAGACAAATTTTAATTGCATTTATTATGTAATTTATTTCATGCACGCAAAAAACCTTTCTACTTATTTGAAAGAGGATTTTATAATCTATTTAAATTTAATTTAGTTAAAAATATTATTTAAATATTGAAAATAAAATGGTCAAAGTAAAGGACCTCGAAAAAATGATGAAAATTTTTTTCCAAAAAAATCTTGAAAAAGGTAAAGTGTTTGTTGCTAAGCAGTTTATGGAATGGGGTTTAACCAGATAAACTGCTTACTTTAAAATCATAAAATTGAATGAGAATGGATCTCTAAAAAGAAAAGTAAGAGGTGGTTGAATCGCTAAGGTAGCTACTAAAGAAAATATTCCAAAGATTGCTGCATTTTTTGAAAATAAGTCAGGGTGCTCCCAAAAGAAAGTAACTCGAGTTTTTAATTGCAGTCAAACTTGAATTTCCCAAGTATTAAAAACAATGACTAACATTCGAACTTTCAAAAAAACAAATCGTCCAGATTGTAGCCATCAGCAGCAGAAAGCTTTGCATCCTAAATGTCGTAAATTGTACGAAAATTATAAAAACTTAGATTTTGTTATGGATGATGAAAGCTTTTTACCTTAAACAATAGCACATTAGCATTAATGATAGGTTTTATGCCGCTGATCCTTCTCAATGTTCTGATAAAGTAAAATACAATTTGCGTAAAAAGTACAAGGACAAGCTCTTAGTTTCTTGTTGCATCAGTCTCCGTGGAATAACCCCTCTTTATATTCATCAGAGTAAGCAGGCAATCAACCGATACACTTATAAAGAAATACTAGGAAAAACTTTACTTCCTCTAGTATCAGAGTATTACAAAAAAGACAATTATTTATCTTCTGGCCTGATCTAGCTCAATCATGTTATGCAAAGTCGGTCATCGACTTTTTAAAATTGAAAAAAATCAAAGTTGTACCCAAAGATTTAAACCCAGCTAACATTCCAGAAGCAAGACCAAATATTGCTATTCAAAGATGAATAAAGAAATTTTCCTTACTCAAATAAAACATCTTTCAAAAAAACTTTATAATATTGCTAAATATGGTATTTGAAATAACTATTTTAATATATTTATAAACTACAAATACTAACATATTAACAGTTAAAATATTAAATAATAAAACTTATTAGTTCTTAAAATATTAATTTTTAAATTTTGTCCAAAATTTTATTTATGAGGTGTTATTATAAAAAAATTAGTAAAGATTTAAAGTTATTTATTCCAAACGTAATTTAGATAATCTTATCTTTATAGTTTATTATTTATTTTAGTTAAGTTTTAATTTTGTTTCTGCTATTTTAGTTTTAGTTAAGTTATTTTTATTTTGTTTTTCGTTATTTATTAACCAAGATTTATTTGCTTCCATTATGATAAGTTTTTTTTTAAATTTCTTTATAGTTTAAGATTTTTTTAGCGCGTTTTTAAAACGTATACAAATTTTCAAAACATGATAACAGCCATGGTCAAGTTTAGTAAAATCAAATCGTATTTGCATGGTCATATTATGACGTGAAATCGCATGCCTTCCTGGCCTAGCATATATATATATATATATATATATATATATATATATATATATATATATATATATATATATATATATATATATATATATATATATATATATATACACACACAGTGCGAGAGCAGCAAAAAGCTCTCTTAAAATGAACATGGCGAGCCATGTGAGCTGCTCCTCTAAACAGCTTTTTAGGAGAGGTTTTTGTTTTTGCGTGAGCTATCTGTATATTCATAAAAAAAATTAATTATTAAATACTAAATTTCAGTTTTATACTTGTTACAAGTCTAGGACGTATCAAATCGTTTTTTTTAATGAACGTTGACATGCGTATCTTTATTTAATGACCAACATCTAATTTAAAAGATATATGTCATAAGAAGTTTTATTTCTATATAATTTTCTAGTTAATAAGTTATTTGATATATCAATGATGCTTATTGAATTTGATCAGTTTTTATTTTATCAAAACAATTTTTTACGCTTTTACAAAGTGCGCGCAAATTAATGATAATAAATATGCAATGACCTAACGATTATCCATTGATACTAAATAATGAGTTTTTCTTAATTTAGTTCGCTAAATTTATTTACAAATAAAGAAACGTATAAGCTTGAAGAAATTAAAATAAAAGGAGCTTAAAATAGAATATAAGTTGTTTTGACATTTCTCTTTAAAACTTTTAAAAATAATATTATTTTTATTTCTATATATAACTTATATATACAAGTATTTAATAATAAGTTAATAAAAATATCATAATATTGACGTTGTTAAACCTAAAATTAAAAAAAAAAACCTCTAATAAACATTAATTCTAAGCTTGAAAGTTCATTTCAAACATTTAAATGTTTTAACATGCAAATAAACATTACTTCACTTTAAGAAAAATAAGCAAAAAAAAAAAACATATAAGAGCAGTAGCATAGGGAGGATTTTTTGGTGTTTGAGATAAAATAATCACTCAACGTTTCAAAATTATGACCTTGCTAAACTTGTATCCCCCTCAATTTGCGGTAGTGGTGTAGTTGAAAGAGCGCTCGCTTCATAAACGAGTGGTTCCGGGTTCGATCCCCACCACGTCCCTGGTAGTACCGCGCTCAACTCGTTTCTCCGCGCAGCGGCCTTGTTCGTCAAGGTTCGTGTTTTGGAGTTATAGAGTTGAGAGAGGGTTATAGCCACAAAATAAGTAGCCTCCTCGTTTGTAGTGGTCTTCTCGGCCTTGAGGAGGTGAATTAAAATTAAAAAAAAATAAATAAAAAATTTAATGGGGTCACAAATTTGAGAGTATACTATAAAACTTTAAATTTATCGATGAATACAAGTTAAAAATATTAAAAAAAAATTTTATCAACTTGTTGCTCTCACATTTAGGGCAGGGGGCGCAAAAGTTTTAGGTTTTTTTGTTCCCAGGCTCCAATGTTCACAATTTTTTGCAAAACATCCTTATTTGACGTAAGTATAAACATACAAATGTTTGAAGTTTGCTCCATGTCTGGAAGTTAGGAAGTTTTTCTCCAACACCAAAAAATCCTACCCTGCTGTATAAGAGCAATAATGTTTAAGATGGTTAAAATAAATATGGTTTCTTTTAAAGTATTCATTTCAACTAAAATTTTGCATGCTTTTGTTAAGGCATACAAAAACCATGCTAAAACATAATTTCTTTGGAAGCGTAAAACATAATTTCATATTTTACTTAATAGTAACGTTATTGAAAGAAGTAATCTTTAGAAAGTCTTTGAAATGTGTTTTAAATTTTAGTAACTAATTGTTTTTAAAAGTTTTTTATAATAAATAAAAACTATCAATCGTATTATTATTTGGAAAAAAAATTACTGAAGTAAAGCGTGTTTTTTTTTTAATTTTAAGCAAATGCCAACATTTGTATAATCAAAAAGATAGAAACATGGCGTTTATTTTTTTAACAAAAGTTTGCACGTTTGTAGATTTGTCACGCTAATTTAAGCATAAGTTTGTTACATTAATATTACAAAAATATATACATAACAAGAGTCATTTATTGCAGCATGAAAAAATTATTTACACTTTTTTTATAAGCAGTAAAAAAAAATTTTACTGCTTATAAAAAGAGTTATACATTTTCTTATTGTAATAGAATGCTGGCATTTTAAGAATTACTAAAAACAGTTAAATGACTGTGTTTTTTATTTTAGTTTTTTTTTTTTTTTTTTCTAACATCTTCGCATCCAACAAGGCTGCAGGCAATTACTATTAAAGTTGGAAGTTACTGGAAGAGAAAAGATGAAGTTAGTACAGCAAGATAACAATTGACAGACGACTTAAAAGATTGTAAATTATATGAATAAGAAAAGCAAGATAAAGAAAGCAAATTCCAAAGAACTGATGTTCTAGGAAAAAAACTAGATGAATAAGAGTTTTTGGAGCACTTAAGAACAGTCACAGAAAAAGGATGAAACTTAATTGAAGAACAAGTAACACGAGAATGAATTTTAGTAGATGGTACAAGAAACAATAGCTCTTTAGAGCAGTGTCCATTATAGCATTTGTAGAAAAGAGAAAGAGAAGCAAAACTACGACGATGTGATAATGGTTGGAGGTTGGCAGCAAGAGCAGGTTGAACAATGTTTACATTGCGTTTTTGGTCAGGAAAGCGTGCGATCGCACGCCATTATATGACCACGCAAATAATACTTTAGTTTGACAATTTGACCATGGTTTTTATCATTTTAAAAAATTTAAAAGAAATAATTTTTACATATGTCAAAAATAAATAACTTTGAAACTTTTATCTTTACTAACATTTTTATATTAGCGAAATGTTTTCAAATAAAGTAAAAGTTACTGTTAACGTTTTAATTTAAAGTATAAATGAAAGTTGAATAAATTATCGATTAAAATTAATATACTAGAAATATAACAAGTTTTTTTTGCAAATGTAAGTTAAAAAAAAGTATATATATAAAATTTTTTATAATAATTTTTTTTTCTTTAATCTTTAAAAAAAAAAAGTTATCAATTAAAGTTAACAAATTAAATTATAAACAAATTAAATTAAGTTATCAATTAAATGAATTTTTGTGAAACGCGTTTCCAAAAAAAAAGCGTTATTAAAAAGTTTCCTTGTTTAATCGTGTTTTTTTTTTAAATACCACTAATGCGCGATGATGTTTTCTGTAAAAACGAAAGTGTTTATTTATATTTTTTTTGTTGATTAGTACTATTTATTTCTTATTTTTTTACTGTTAATATAATTTTATATTGTGCGGTAACAAAGCAGACGATACACTATTAGTTTTACATTATAAAAACATCAGTAAAGATTTAAAGTTATTAATTTCAAACTTAATTATCTTATTGTTTATAATTTATTTTAGTTAAGTTT